CCCCTTTTTTTTTTTTTTTTTTTTTTTGAGACAGGGTCTCACTATATAGTTGAGACTGACATGTAGCCCAGGCTGGGTGAACTGGCAGTGATCCTCCTGCCTCAGCCTCCCAAGTGCTGGGATTACAGGTGTGAGCCACCACACCCAGCAAGACTCAAATAAACCAAAACAAACCAACAACAAATAAAGCAGAGCAAATGTTCCTGAAGTAGGAGCTGACGGGGCTGGTGGGGTTTTGCACTGTATGGGTTACCGGGGTGAGTGTAAGTGGTCTGTCGGCCTCTTCTGCATGCAGGGATCTGACATTGAAGATGAGGACATGGAGGAACTTCTTAATGACACAAGACTCTTGAAAAAGCTTAAAAAAGGCAAAATTACAGAAGATGAATTTGAGAAGGGGTTGCTGACGAGCCGCAAAAGAGCAGCCAGGACGGCAGAGCTGGGGCTCTCAGAGCCAGAAGACAGCTGACTGCAGTGCCTCAGGTGCGTGCAGCGGTGCCTGCAGGTGGGGGTGCGCACTTTACTGTGTGCCAGGCCCGAGTCTACAGGAATGTGAGTGACTTCAGTGTAATAAAAGATGCTGATATTTATTTTGATGGTCACCTGCACGTAAAGAGTGCTTTTCCCTAGATTTCTTTATACCAATTCTTTAACACACAGATGTCGATGTATACTTGACTAAGTCCCTAGAAGTTTTCGGTCCCTGTCCCCGACCTTCATGTGACCCTTGACTCTGCATGGGGCACCTGCCAAGCGGCAGGCGTGCAGGGCTCCCTCTGGAGGCCTGTCCCCAGTGCTGCTGGTGAATCCCTGAGAAACAGAAGCCACCGGCTTCCCCCGGGTCCACCGCTGAGTGTGGAGCTGCAGGGGGAGTGTTTTCATGCAGGCCAATGTCCAGGGTCCGAGGAACTGCCGTATTGAGGCAACATGGTATCAAAACCTCCCGTACGATTTATTTGCAAAGATGTTCAATTTATTCCCAAGTCTGATTTTAAAAGCTCTTTGGGACTCAGACATGTTTAAAGGAAAATCCCATCTTTTTCAGCTACAGAACTTAGGTCTGCAAATCCTCTGGATGGGAAGCGTCTCTGCGACCCGTGCAGGCCGTTTCCACCACGGCCGCTGCCTGGCTCTCCCCTGCCGCGAGTCGCATCCGCTGCCTGCCCTCCTGGGTGCCATGTGTGGTGTCCTGGCTCCCCACAGCCTGCATGGCTTCAGACGATGTGGTCAGGTGGGCGGGACAGGAAGGAGGCAGCATTGGCTGTCGGTGCTAAGGAGTCTGTGATCAAACCTGCGTTTCTGGAAACGACTGGCTGCAAGTTCGTGGAAACTAAGTGGATTTAGGCTTGGTTTTAGAACAAATCTTAGATGGGACTGAACCATGAATAAAAGATACTCCAGGTTTTATGATTTTGACCCTTCACCCACACGTTTCTGTTTCGGCCAGGCTCCTGGTGGAGACTCTGGCGCTAGAGGTACAGCTTGATGAGCTCGTCGCTGACAGCCGAGGGTGTGAGCACACCCAGGTCTGTGAAGAGCAGGGTGATTAAGGACGGGGCGGTGTAGTCCACCCATGGGTGCTCCTCCTTGAGGTCCTGCCTGGTCTGCGCCGACTTCAGGGTGTCTGCCTTGTACTGTGGGGAGAAGCGCCCGTGTCAGCCGGCCACAGGGTGGGGAAGGTGGCTGCCGGGAGGGCACGTGGCCGAGGACAGCGTGGGGGGCGGCCTGAGCCAGTGCCCCTCAGAGAGCTGACGGACCCGCAGGCCTGGAGGGGCTGTGAGCGCCCCTTGGTACAGCTGGGAAACAGTTCAGCAGACGCAGTGGCAGGCTAGGGCCAAGGTCTCTGGGCTTGTGGGGGAGCTGGGAGCCGAACTCCGCCAGTCAGTGACAGCGGGGACCTCCCTGTCCCCCCAGCCCTGCAGGGTGCTGCTCACATGATGAGCAACGTACCCACGTGTCGCAGAAAATGGTAACTGGCAGTGAAGAGCGTCTGGAACATTGAGCACTGAACTTGTACAGGGACTCAAGCACCCCTGCCCCAGCAGAACCTGCCTTGAACTTATCGGGGACGTCCTGCTGGTTCAGTGGGAAGAGCCGCACAAACTTGAAGCTTTCCGCAACCACGTAGAACGGCTTGTTCTGCGCCTTGGCACACACGGCCATCTGGTTGGTTCCAATCTGGGGGCCAGGGAAACGGAGAAGGGTGAGTTCTCGAGACACATTTGAAGTGGAAGCCACAGACAGTGTAGGAATTAACTTAATACGTGTAATTCTGGCTCAAGTCAAAGACCTTTGGAAGAAGAAGAAAATAGGTGCTTCTCCAAAGATACACAAAGGGCTCCTAGGCACCCGAGGCATGGGAGAGGTGCTAAAGATCACTGGTTAGCAGCGAAATGTGATCAGAACCACCAGGAGATAGCTGTCCGTGCATCCCAGGGACTAAGATTCCTGTTCATGGACGACCACAGGGCAAGCTGGCAAGAGCCAGAAGGAGAGCAGCTAATGTGATGTGTGCGGTGGGCACGTTCAGCAGGAAAGGAATGGCGCACCAATGCACTGACACGGGGTGATCCTTGAAATGCTGGGGACACAGGTCAGACTCAGAGCTAAGCATTCTGCCTGTTTCCTTGCTGCTGCACTAAGGATTTAACTGAGGGCTCTGCATGCGCTAGGCCAGCAAGTGCTCTACCACGAGCTATACCCCAGCCGTTTTTACTTTTTGAGACAGGGTCTTGCTAAGTTTCCCAGGCTGGCTCCAACTTGTGATCCTCTTGCCTCAGCCTCCCAGAGCGCTGGGATTATAGGTGCGGAACACCATGCCTGGCTATGGCTCTACTTATGTGAGGTAGCTGTACCCAGAGCAGGGAAAATCACAGAGCAGAGCAGAAGCAACAGGGACTGCATGGAGACTTTGTGTTCACTGGGCGCAGATTTCCTGAGAAGTTTTCTACACAGCTGTGCACTAGCAGGACAGTGTGAATGTGCATACTGACCGCCGCTGAACTGCATGCCTAAAAACACTGAAAATGGCAAGTTTTATGTTATACCCATCTTAACCATAACTAAATTTTTTTTTTTTTTGAGACAGGGTCTCACTATGTAGTTGAGACTGACCTGGAACTCACTATGTAGTCCAGGCTGGTCTTGAACTCACAGCGATCCTCCTGCCTCAGCCTCCCCGAGTGCTGGGATTACAGGCATGCGCCACCACACCTGGCCACTAAATGTATTTTTTTCATGAAACTCTTCCAAGTTAGGCAACACAGAAACTGTAATGAAATATAATGAAGTTGAATATGTTCAATTAAAAACAACCAAATCCCATTTCCAGCTAAGACCTGTTTTGTGTACACCTGAACTGCACAGACTTCATTACAGAGCTCAGTCTCCACAGAAGGAAATCTGACGGTTTGCTGGGCCAGTGCAGGGGCTCGTGAGGCTGAGGAGGAGGAAAAGGACGCACAGTGCTGTTGTCCCTGCACCCAAGCTTCCCTACCTTGTTAATGATGCCTCCATTCTCCACCACGCCTTCGGCACCCACAATGACCAGATCTGCTTTCTCCATGATGTAGCTTGGGAAATGCAGACAAAACAAAGAACGGAGACTCGGAGATTAGGTAAGAAGGCACAGAAGAGACAAAAAGATCTTTTGCTCACAACCTCATGATCTGCCACACTTCCCGTGAGAACCCAGAGTATGTCTGCACTTGTTTGAGTCTAGAGCCTGCAGCGTGAGGATACTGGTCCGCCCACTGTGGGGTGCTTGAGCTTCCATTCTGCCTCCAGACAAGTAAGGCAAAACTTTCAAACCCTGAGGCGATCAGAAGTTGGAATCCAGTGTCGCTCAGTTTAAAACTCTTTCCTGTCAAGTGTGGTTTTGCACACATGTAATTTTCCAGAACTCTGGAAGGCTGAGGCAGGATGACTACAAATTTAAAAGGCAAACAAACAAAACGAAAGGCCAGCATGTGGAACTTAGTGAGAGCTTCTGAAAATTAAAAAAAAAAAAAAAAAAAAAAAAAAAAGGAACCGGGAATATAATTCAGTGTAAAGGCCCTGGTTCAATCCCTAGTACTGACAGGAAAAAAAAAAAAAGAAAAAAAAAATCTTATATGGTAAAGACAACTTGCCTTTTAAATGACCATTTAGTAAAACTGCTCAAAATGCTCAGTCCTTTTCTTTTCTTTTTTGAGATAGGGTGTATCTTGCTATGTAGCCCAGGCTGGCCTTGAATTTGCAGTGGTTCTGCTTCAGCCTCCCAAGTGCTGGGATTACAGGTCTGTGCCACCATGTCTAGCTTTCAAAATGCTTAGTCTAAAATCCATTTCTAAATTCCTTCATTGTGTATTTTCTTTCCAAGGGGCTCTAGCACTGTTTTCTCTGATGAGATACACGGACAGCCCAAGGACATGTGGTCCTGGGTGTCAGGAAAGAAGGCTCCTGCCTCTGAGCATAGCCCAGCAGGGCTATAATTCATAATCTTGCTCCTGGGCAGCTTTGAACCACCAGTGGTCCAGTGGTCCACACGTGACTGTCCCATCGGGCAGCATGGAAGGGTCCTGCATGTACCCCGCATGGTTCAAGCCAGCAGAGCTAAAGGGACACAGGTCACCCTACTGCTGACCAAATGTGAGTCTGCTACATTGCTAACTAGCACTGGCTCTCAGGGACATAGGCCCTGCCTGCCAGCATCTACAATGAGCCAGTGCCCTCTCAAGGCCTCACATAGCAGCACACTGGTCAGGGCAGCTAGGAACGAAGAGGTGGCACCACACACGGCAGAGTGAGGACGGGTCTCAGCCCTGCAATCTGAACACCCTCGGGGCCAGCCTTGGTGGCAAGGACAGGCCAGCGTGCCAGGGCACAAAGGCACTTACCCAACAGCGGCATCCAGCACCACAGTGACAGGGACGTTGAGGTGGCAGAGGGCTTTGGCCATTTTCTTACTGAAGGTGACATTTTGAGAACATGAGAAAAAGGCCACGAAAGTCCCATGTGATGTAGGACATCACATAATTTATACAGCAATAAACACGTTAGCTTGAAATTCAGTTAATATGAATGTGTGAAGGCTCCAGACTAAGGAGAGAACTGGGGCTCTCTGGAAGAAAAGAGCACAAATTTCCAGAAAGTTATGCTCTTCGGGACTCGGTAGGAGATACAAATTGAGATGAAAGCCTGGCTTTTACTCTTCCGTGAACGACCTATTTCCCAGTGAGTGGGGACAGCAGCAGTCTCCTGCCGCTCCTCTGATCTAACTCTGCGTCCCTGTCCCCCTGCAGGACGGGCTGGCCCTCAGCGGCTTGGAGAGTAGGGGGTACTTGCCCTGACAGGTCGGGCTGGGACTCCGTGATGTACACGTGGAAGCGCTTCTTGGCTGCCACGGCTGCTTCCAGGACTCGCAGGACCACTCTGGAGGAGGCGTGAGTCAAGATGCGCTGCAGAGGAAAGCCTGGTCAGGGAGGAGCGCCTCATGAGCCCTGCGCTGTCGCCCTGCAGCCTGGGTTCCTAGCACCACAAGACTTGTGCCTCCACACAAATCCAGAATTACAGAGGGACCTTGATAGGACACTGAGTTTCAAGCCCGTTTTCAAACTGAAAAAGCTTCCTCACTCTTTTTTTGGGCATTACTGAAGCTTGAACCCAGGGCCTTCACCCTGAGCTGCACCCCCAGCTCTTTTTATTTTTTCATTCTGAGATGGGGTCTTTCTGAATTGCCCAGGCTGGGCTGGAACTTTCCTCCTGCCTCAGCCTCCATTATAGGCGTGCGTCACCACACCTAGTTCTGTCATCTATTTAATAATGTACTCCAAGATTCAGAAGGGGACAATAAAACAAGAGTTAAGAGTCAGGACGCAAGTCAGTACTTTTATGGTGAGCAGGGCTGAGCTGGCAACTTGGAGAGACATCAGAGCTTTATCACCCTGTGCCAGGAGCCCTGAACTTGCAGCTCCTGCCGGTCCTCCCTTGGAAACAGCTCAGCAGCTCCGCCCACAGTAAGGGCTCAGAACAAAATCACAAAGGAAATCTCCAGCAGGGCAGCCATCGCTGGGAGGGTGCTGGAGGGTGCTGGGTGTTGACCAGTGATGAGCTGGTCTGTGTGGATCAAATTGATTACACAGCCAGTTATAAAAGTACTTGTTCCGAAGGACATCTTGCTAGACAAGTGATCTACACTCCGTTCATCCCCAGCCCTGTCCCAGTATCTCACTCTGCCCATTTACGATGACAAGTGTCTATAATGATTCCACCTGCATTTGCAAAGCACTGAGCCCTTGTTTCACATCTCATGTAACTCCAGCAATGACCCGTTGCTCTCCTTGTCACAGATGAGAAAACTGCAGCACAGAGAGGCTAAGGAAGCTGCCCACAGTTACCCAGCAATAACAGCAGAGCTAGGAGTTCAGCCCCGGCAGACTGATTCTGAAGCCCATGTTTCCGATTACCCGTGCACCACAGGTCCGCTTACCGCCCCATCTTTGATGAACGTATGGCACAGATCGGCGATTTTATTTCTCGACAGGGATATTCTCCTGAGAAAGAGCTCTCCCCGCTCAATCATGATCTTTTTGCATTTGGAGTAATCCTAGGGAGAAAAGAGCAGCATGAGAGCGGATGGAGGTGAAGGTAGAGTGGGTGGTAAGCGAGGGGGTGTGGGGCTTACAGAGTACTCCAAGGAAGTGAGGCTGATGAAGCGGAGGAAGAGTTCCCCGCCAGAGGACACTGCCACCGAGGAGTCCACGCCACACAGCGTCTCTATGGCATTGGTGAGATTTGCTCTCAGGCCCTGGATCGTTTCCCCTGCAACGATGAGGTAAGGAAGGTGGTGTTCATCTGAGGGTCACGGCCCTTGCTCGGTCTGCTGTTCACTGATTCACTTGTCCATTTATTCATTCACACGCTGAATAAGTGGTGGGTGTATCTGTGGCCAGACACTGTTCTGGGTGTGTGGGATCCATCAGTGAATGAGACCACACTCTGCTGTAGTGGAAAATGCAGAAAATAAACAGCATACAAACCAATAAGGAAGGTAATTCCAGATTGTAATAAGGACAGAAAGCCACAGAACAGTGAAGACTGTGGGGCTCATGCAATGGGTGAGGGCCACTTGAACAGAGCCTGATAAGAAAGGGCCCAGGCACATGAAGACCCGATGAGAAGGTGCCAGGCACAGACCGTAACAATGCAAAGGCCCCGAGATGGGAACAAGCTTGGTATAAACCACAAAGAGAGGGCTGGGGATTAGCTCAATGGTGCCGCACCTGCTGCACAAGTGGAAGGTCCTGAGTTCTATACCTGGTACCAAACAAACAACAGTTCACTGGATCCATGGAAACTAAACCACGAAGAGGCTGGCAAGGCTGAAGCAGAGTTCAGTGAGGACAGCGTGGAAGATGACTAAGTAGCAAAGGCGGAGAGTCTGTCAGACAGTGAGGGGGAGCCTGAGCTGTTCGGGCATTTTTAGTTGAGCAGGAGGACACTGGAGACTGGTTTAGAAATGTGTGACTGTAGGCCAGCCCTCCAGATTAATGAAGCCGTTATTACTTTGCTTATACACGCTATACCCAGATGATTTACATTTAGGAGGCTGAATTAGTAGATCACAACAAATGATGTTACTACCTGGATTTATTCTGCAACATCCTCTGTAGTAGCTGCACAGAATCTGGGACAAGGCAGAAACTCAACAAACATCTACAGAGTGGAACTATTCGAACTGAAACTCCATGGTTAGTGTGACATTAGGTATCAGATGATCACTCTTGATTCAAAGCTCATCCCATTTACAGACGAGACCTTTGTCTGCCTCGGAAGCCCAAGGTCCTGAGTTCAATCCCTGGTACCGCCAATAAAAAGGACCTTTGGATGATAACATGGGGGCTTTGTCCCGGATAAAAGGCTTGAAATGGAGGCAGAAGCTGAGGTTAGTCTGCATCACCTCATGCAAAGTCAATCTCTCACTTTCTATATTCCTTACCATGGAAAGACTTTCCTAAGGCCCAGAGTGTTCAAGGATGACTTTTACCTTTATCTCTCTTCAAGAACTCCAGCAATGTGCGGATGGCGGCCACTGCTGATGCCATGTCCGGGTCCTCTTTCATCTGAGACTTAAAGTATTCAATTAACTCTGAGAAGGAAGAAAAAAGTGATTCATCACATTCATTTAGCACGATGTGCGGACAGAGAGCTTTTTAATGACTGTTGACCTCCAGAAGCAAAATCACTTAAAAATACTTTCTTCAGAATATTTAGTTTCCTAGTAATGTTGACGCAAATAGACTTTAACCACTTTACTATTTGCAAGATCTCATTTCTAAAGAGCTAGCAGTGGTGTGTGGTGGTGCACAACTGTAATCCTACCCCGCAGGAGTGCAAATCTCATCTCAGGTTGGGCAATTTAGAGTTTGTGAGGATCTGTTGTGGTTTTTTTTTTGTTTTGTTTTGTTTTGTTTTGTTTTTTGAGACAGGGTCTCACTATGTAGTTCAGACTGCCCTGGAACTCACTGCGTAGCCCAGGTTGGTCTCGAACTCACAGCTATCCTCTTGCCTCAGCCTCCCGAGTGCTGGGATTACAGGTGTGCGCCACCACACCCGGTGAGGATCTGTTTTAAAAGTAAATTAATTTTAAAAAGGTATCGGCGTGCAATACATAAAATTTAAGCCCTAATGTTCACATCATGTAGTCATTCTCGCTCCTCTTACTGGCGGGAGGTTCTGGGAGGACCCCAAAGTCATTCCCTAACCAGTGTGTCCTGCACCTCTCCTGACAGTCGGCGCCTATTCAGTATATATGCTGCCCAAGTGAGCATAGTCCGCGCCTATTCTCTCCGTCTCTGTTTCTCTCTGTCTCTCTCTCTCTCTGTCTCTCTCTCTCTGTCTCTCTGTCTCTCTCTCTCTCTCTCACACACACACACACACAACGCACATATACGAATAAATTCCACTCCTATTACTTAATGCACGGTGTTACACTCATTTACCCTTGCCATTTACTTAATAAAACACCTTGACGACCATAATGGATGAGAACAGCAAAAATTCTTTTTGACTCTAGTAACAGATCAAGCGGGGCAAGGATCCTTGCACCTATTTCACATCTGAAGACGTGGAGACCGAGAAGGCCTGCTCCCTCCAGCCGAAGTCTCACGTTTCCGCAGGACCGTATGTGAGTGGGGTCTGCGGATGCTCTCAGGGCCCCTCCCTCGGATACGGGAACAAGGGGAATTTAACTGATAAGAAGAAACAGTCAGCAGCCAGAGCTTGGATGGCGACTTTCGGGGATTCCTGCTTGGGTATGCGAGATTGGGGAAAACCCCTGTGAGCCCCCACGGCCCTGGCTGCCCCGACTTGCCCTTGTCGTCCATGGTGCTCTCCGACGGTGGAGCCGGAGGGGTCTGGAATCACGGGCTCTGTGCTAGCCAGGCGACCGCGCCGGCTGCTAATGACAGCGCGTCGCGGCTCTTTTACGCAACTTCCGGCGCTTTGGAGGCGGGGCCGTGGGTACAGCAAGCGGCCTGGCCCAAACCTCTTTGCGCCACTCAACGGCACCGGAAGTCGGGGTGCGCAGGCTTCGGGAAGCTCTTCTGCTGGCTTCTTGCTCTGCTTCGAGGGCACGGTGTCGCCATGGTCTCAGACGGTGAGGGACTGGCAGAAATAGACCCGGGGCCCGGGGTTAGGCGGACTGGGCAGGGCCAGAGCCGGCCAAATGGATTGTATCTTTGGGTTGGGCGGAATCCTTTTGGTGTTTAAAGGAGTAGCCGGTGTGCCCGTTCATTCTTTAAGTAAATATTTTTGAATCGCTTTCGGCTTGCCTGGAATTGTTTTCTGCACTGGAAAAACCGCAGAGAACGTGACGGGCAGGGAAGCAGGTAGAGGTTATAGCCTAGTGGGCTACAAAGGCCATTGACAAGTAAATAAAATGAATTCCGAAAGGTCGTAAGTGCTGAGGGTGATATGATAAGACGCTGTGGAGACTACGATCCAAGAGGAGCTACTATAGTTAGAGTCCTAGAAAGGGGGCTATACTGAAATTAAGACCGGAATGGTATGCAGACTTCCACGGGAAATGCACGTGTAGTGCAAAAGGCCCTGAGGCAGGTGGAGATACCAGGTTTTCGGGAGCTCCTGGGGGTACAGGAAGGTAGGGAGACGTCACGCAATCACCAGTTATAAAGCCTTGATCTTTTGAAGAAAGAGAGGGCGAACGAGATGAACTCAGAGAATTAGCCAGATTTGGGCCATGCAGGGTCTTGAGGTCCCATAGTTTTTTTTTTTTTTTTTTTTTTTTTTTGGTACCAGGGATCAAACTCAGGTCCTTGGGCTTGCAAAGCAGGCACCGGAACCACTGAGCTAAATCCCCGGGCTCTTCTTTGTGGTTTATATTTAATCTAATATAAACTTTTGTAGGGTCTTAAGCAAAGAATTGTTATGCTATGATTTACAATGCCAAGCCATTACTTTGGGGCTGGAGGTGTTGATCAGTGGTAGAGCCCTTGCCAAGGATGTATGAGGCCCTGGCCTCAACTCCCAGTGCTGGGGGAAAAGAAATCACTTGGCTGCTGTGTGGACAGATGGATTGTACCAGGCCTAGTGTTGCCGGTCTAAAAATGAAGTGGACACCTGAAGAAGGAAATTCACAGAGAAATGGAGGAACGTAAATACACTTTTAACAGGCAGCACTTTTTCTTAAGCTCTTTGGTAGTAGCAAGGATGAGTGTCCTGACAGCTGCAGGGTGAGGCCTGATGGGAAATGAAGACCAGCGGCTCAGGGGACTTAGGGGAGACCTGTGCAACGCACAGTTATTAAGTGCTTGCTCTGTGGGTGGCACTTTGCTGTGCGATTTCAACATATTATTTCAAGCTGGGATTAACAAAAAGCATCATCTCCCCCTCTTTGTGATACTGGGGATTGAACCCAGGGCCTGGTGCGTGTGAGGATAGAGCTCTGCCACTGATCTACATCCCCAGCCCTCACATTCCTTACCGAGTCCAGAGTGCAGGAGGGAGGCCTGGGAAGAGCGATCAGAAACACCCAACTTACTAGTCGGCTGCCAGTGGGTAGGCACTATGTTGCTAGAAGAGAGTCATTTGTGTTGTGGGTGGTCAGGCAAGCATTGGCACCATGAAGGGTCGTGGTGCTGAGAAACAGCCAGGTGGCTTCACCACCTGCTAAGAGTCCATGTGACTCAGCAGGTCATTTCCTTGTGCATAATGGAATGGCATTCACCACATTTCATCAAAGCTGAGACAGCATGGACTATGAAATATGCCTTCATTTAAGAAAGCATTGAGAGCCAGGCGTGGTGGTGCGTACCTGTCATCCTAACACTCAGGGGGCTAAGGCAGGAGAATTGTTGCAGGTCCGAGGCTGTTGGGCAACATAATGAGTTCAAGACCAGTCTGAACTATATGCTGAGATCCTGGCTCAAGAAAGCAAAAAACAAAACAAAAATAACCCCGGATGGTTCCTAATTGCAATCAGCCTTGTTGCTGCGTGATTCGCTGGACACTTGGCTACATTTACTCCTTTGTCTCCCTGGACTGTTCCTGAAGCCCTACACTGGCATTCCTGTTAGTGGCCATTCAAGGCCTTCTGTCTGACCAGGCAGTTGCCATGCAGATGTCTTGGGGCTTATTTAGGAGTGATTTTTTTTAGCATTTTCTGTGTGCTAGGAGGTGAGAATAAGTAAAAAACAAAACAGACCAAAGTCACTGCCCTTGTGGAGCTTGTATTGTGTACATGAAGTGGCAGAGGCTTGCTAAGGACCCATTGAGTTTAAATCTTTAAGGGAACTTGGCCCTCTGTTAATCTCATGGGTGTAGGGCACTAAATGTTTAACGACATGTTGTGAATTGAATTTACACATTGGCGTTGTTCCTTTTCATTTCATGAGGCTAATGCTTTTAAATTTTATTTCTCGTTAATATTTTCAGAAGATGAATTGAATCTACTGGTCATCATAGTTGATACCAACCCAATTTGGTGGGGGAAGCAAGCATTAAAGGAATCTCAGGTAAACTGGCTTAAGGAGGACTTTGAGTGGTTCTAATTTAATTTTTTTATGTCTATATTGCTTTTTTATTTTTTAAACTTTTTTGGTACCAGGGTCTGAATTCAGGACTTTATGCTTGCAAGGTAGGTGTGGCCCCACTGAGCTAAATCCCCAGCCGTATTTTTTTTTCTTTTCTTTTTTCTTTTTTTTTTTGAGAAATAGCTTTATTATCCTAGCATGGTGGTGCACTTTTGTAATCCCAGCACTTGGGAGGCTGAGGCAGGAGGATCTCAGTGAGTTCAAGGCCAGCCTGGACTACATAGTGAGGCCCTGTCTCAAAAAACAGAACAAGCCAGGTATGGTGGCATAAGCGCCTGTAATTCCAGCACTCGGGAGGCTGAGGCAGGAGGATTGCTGTGAGTTCAAGATCAGCCTGGGCTCCATACTGAATTCCAGGTCAGTCTCAACTACATAGTGAGACCTTGTCTCAAAAAAAAAAAACAAAAACAAACAAACAAACAAAACATAAAAAACAGCAAAAGAAAGTTTTATAATTGTACCTTACTAAAGTACAATTTACATACTATTAAAATGGACCCATTATAATGTACAATTCAGTGACTTTTACTAAATTAGTGAAGTTTGTGTAACTAGCTCCACAGTTGCAGTGAAAACATGTCTTTCGCCAAATTAAAGTTCCTTCACTATCTGGAGTCTACCCTACTCCCACCCAAGCTGCAGGCAGCCGCTGCTCTGCCTTCTGTCTCTTTATATAGTGTATTTTCGCTACAAGACCTTCGTGAGATAAATGGTTTGTAAGTATTTTTTCCCAGTTTTTATTTTATTTAAAAATTTGAGACAGGGTTTCACTATGTATTTCTGGCTGGCCTTGAACTCACTGAGATCCTCCTGCCTCACCCTCCCAAGTGCTGGGTTCATAGATGTGCACCACCACACCTGGTTTTCTTCCTCCAGTTTTTAGCTTGTATTTTTACCCTCTCAGGTGGGTCTTTCCAAGACAGGAAGTTTTAAATTTTGATGAAATTAAATTTATTGATTTTAACAAATCTTCATCTCGCGTTTTTTTGGAGACAGAGTCTCACTATGTAGTTCAGGCTGGCCTCAAACTCACTATGTATCTGGGCTGGCAATCCATTTGGAGTAACTTTTTAATAAGCTGGAGTTTTGGCTGAGGTTCATTTTGGATTTTTGGCCTGTGCATGTCAAGTGCTCCAGCACCATTAAAAAAAATATATTTCTTCACCATCAAGTTCCTTTTATTCTTTCTTGTTTTCTTTTGTTTTGTTTTTTGAGACAGGGTCTTGCCATATAATGTAGTCCAGGCCGGCCTCAGACTAATATCCTCCGGCCTCAGACTCAATCGCCTCCTGCCTCAGCTTTTCTTTTTTCTTTATTTTTTTTCTGCCTCAGCTTTTCGAATGCTCGGATTGCAGGCCTGTGCCCGCATGGCTTGTGATTGTTTTTTGTTGTTGTTGTTTGTTTTGTTTTGTTTTGGTTTTTGGTACCAGGGATCGAACTCTGGACCTTGTGCTTGCGAGGCAGGTGGGGAATATTTGTGGTGAGCTGGGAACACAGCTCAGAGGCATGTGTGGGGGCCAGGGCTCGATCCTCAGTGACATAAACATTACACACTTTAAAAAAATATATATATATATTTGTAGACTTATCATGCTGATGTCAAGATGACCTCTTGTGAGTAAAATTAAAACACTAATTTGCAAGTCTTCTCTGCTTACGATTTTGGAAGAGGGGAGCTCCTCAGTGAATTTGTAGCAGTGCAGAGTTGTCTAAACTCCCGAAGAAATCCTAGCCGAGACCTGACCCCCTCCTGTGCTTCTCTCCCGCCTGTCCTGCAGTTCACGCTGTCCCAGTGCATGGACGCCGTGCTGGTGCTGGGGAACTCCCACCTGTTCATGAACCGCTCCAACAAGCTGGCTGTCATTGCCAGTCACATTCAGGAGAGGTACGACCCTGCTCCCCCTGCCTCAGCCTGCCAGAGACACCTTCTCCGCCTCAGTGAGAGGGAAGCGCCCCCGCCAGCTGTCCTGAGGGTCGGTCATGATCTCGGCTCTGGCGCTGCTGTCTTTGTGATTCTGCTGTTGAGAAATACAGGCTTCTCTTGTGACATTGGTGCCCATACCAGCCAGATCCTCCTCGGTGGCTTTCCCGATGTCGCTGCACAACCTGGCCGTGTTGGAGTCACTGTGTGGCATGGGTGTGGGCTGGATGGGCTCAGCTGGGCACAGGAAGAGCTCTCATTGCATCTGCTGGGCTTGTGCCTGACTGGACTCCGACCCCCTGTCAGTGCAGCTCTCCTGACTTCGCTGTCACCTCACAGCAGCAGCGACTTGTAGGCTGTGTGTCAGGAGGGGAATGAGCGTATCCTGGGTTGTCCTGCCCTTTAGGACTGAGCACTAGAGGAAGCTTTTCAGGGACTCTGGGAACCACTTTTTATTGTAGGGTAGGTGATGCTAACCTTAAATAATATGTCAAGAGTAGGTTCGAGTTGGGTTATATTCCCTTCAGTTGTCATGTGAGGGAGTCACATGTCAGGACCACCCCAAAGCATTTCGGGAGACTGTCACCCAATACCCTCTTCATTTCCTCTCATTTTAGCTTTGTTTTATTTTTTTGTGGTACCGGGGATCAAACTTTGGCCCTTTGCTTGCAAGGCAGGCAGCAGAACCACTGAGCCAAATCCTCGGCCCTCAAATCCCCGGCCCTCTTTTTTTTTTTTTTTTTTTTTAGAAAACACTGGAACTATGATAGCCTTCTTTGTGACAGTTGAATGAATTTTCACCACTATGCCAGTTTTAGATAGTGCTTCAACATGAAGTTTATTACAGAATTTTGTGGGCCTGGCATTGGTGTGATTTTTTTTTTCTTTTGTGCTATGGATTAAACCCGGGGTTTACCACTGAGCTACATTCCCCAGCCCTTTTTTCAGATTTTGAGACAGTGCCTTGCTAAGTTGCCCAGGCTGTGCTTCAACTTTCAGTCCTCCTGCCTCAGCCTCCCAGAGTACTGGGATTACACGTGTGTCTGCCTGATGTTTGTTCTACTTAATTTAGTGCTAATTGTGAATGAGAGTGAGGACAGTGAGTTCTTTTTCCTTGCTGTTTCAGTCGGTTCTTGTATCCTGGAAAGAATGGCAGACTTGGAGACTTCTTTGGAGACCCCGGCAGCCCCACTCCTGACTTTAATCCCTCTGGGAGTAAAGACGGCAAATACGAGCTGCTCACAGCAGCCAACGACGTGATAGTGGAGGAGATTAAGCATCTGATGACCATGAGTAATAGCTCTCGTTATCATTTTTGTTGTTACTTTGCTGCTGGTGTTGATTTGGCGGGTTCTTAAGGCTTTAAGTCCAGAGATGTGCGGCTCTTGATACTGCCACTTGCTTTCCTCTTAGTTTCCATTTCTTGTTTTATTTATTCTTGTCCCTTAAAATAAGTTTTTAATTCTACACATGGTTTTCTTCCTTGTTTGGTCTGACTGTTCTCATCCACTTTTGCTTTGGTTATCATTTATGTACAGACACTTCCCAGTCTTTGTTTCAGACCCCGCCTCTCTTTCAAGCTCAAATGAAATGTCTCCATTTTGCCATCTCACTGTCGCCCTCACACTCTGGCCTTGTTCCCTTTGCCCTCACAACACCACCATTTCTGTTTCCTGTGACCCGCTCCCCATCCACCTCTGGTTCTAAATTCAGAGTTCTCCTTTCTGACTCCTTTTTCTCCTCACGCATGTCACAAGCTGTGCAGTCCTGTCAGGGTAGCCTCAGGGGCACCTCCAGACTGACCCCTCCCTGTCGTCTGCATCACCCTTGGCACCATAGATGTTGTGAGCCGGGTGCTTCTCTCTGGTGTGGGCTGTCCTGTGCACTGTAGGATACTTAGTGAAATCCTGCCTCAGCACACTAGGTACCGTGACATTTCCCACTCATGACACACACATATGGCTTCAAACATTTGCCCCAGTTGAACGCTGCTGTTCTAGACTATTCTAGAACCTTCTTACCACAGCCAACCATCTCCAGAACCTTCTATCGTCCATAGCCATTAAACACTATTCCTCACACCCCTTCCCCAGCCCCTGAACAAACACTTGTGTATTTTAAGTTGAGAAAAGCTGTTTATTTAAGCATCACTGAAAATAAATTGCTTTCTGTGGTTTTAAACCCAGTTTGAAAATGTCATTGTTTAGTTTCATTCTTGAAATACAGTGGTTTAGAAATGACTATAGTAGGGCTGGGGATTTAGCTCAGTGTTTCCACCACCTGCCTCGCAAGCACAAGGACCCGAGTTCAATCCCTGGTACCAAAAAAAAAAAAAAAAAAAGAAAGAAAGAAATGACTGTAGTTGAAGAAAGTATTTAAAAATTGCCTTTTGAACACATTTTATTATTTGTAGGTGACATAAAGGGTCAACACACAGAAACTCTGTTGGCCGGATCCCTCGCCAAAGCCCTGTGCTGTATCCTTTGCATCTGCATGGTACAGATGCGTCTTCTGTGATGAGCATGTTGGATTTACGCGTGCTGTTAGCATTTTGGGTGTCTGTGTCCATTGTAAGTCTACATTTTCAAAAGCAATAGATAGAGCCGGGGATTTAGCTCAGTGGTTCCGCTGCCTGCCTTGCAAGAATAAGGACCTGAGTTTGATCCCTGGTACTCAGCCCCCTAAAAAAAGCAATAGTTAATAAAATATCATTTATAAGGGCCAGGGATGTAGCTCAGTGACACAACAAGGTCCTCAGTTTGATCCCTGGTACCAAACAAACAAACAAATATGGTTTATTGTGGATTTGAAATATTTTTTAATTAATTAATTGATTGATTGATACCAGGGATGGAACTCTACCTTGAGCTTGTGAGGCAGGTGGCAGAACCACTGAGCTAAATCCCCGGCCCTATTTATTTATTTTTGAGACAGGGTTTTGTTATGCAGTTCAGGCAGGCCCTGAACTCACTGTGTAGTCCAAGAAGGCCTCAAACTCACAGTGATCCTCCTGCCTCAGCCTCCCGAGTATTGGAATTATGGGTGTGCACCATCATGTCTGGCTTCCCTAGGCCCATTTTGTCGTTATTTTGAGACAGAGTCTTTCTATGGAGTTCGGGCTGGTCTTGAACTCACTGGGTAGGTAGCACAGCCTGGCTGACCTCAAATTTGTGGTGATCCTCCTGGCTCAGCCTCCACAGTGCTGACATTGTAGGGTGTACTGCCATCCTTAGCTTATTACTATCTTTTAGGCAGTGCTGAGTGATTCCTGTGTCTTAGACTTTGATTCTGGTCTGCTCATCTTTGTATGGTTTTCAAATTCATCATCTTGTTTCGTTCTTACTGATATATATGTGGTCCTCGTGTTCAGATCTAGGATATGGTGGGTAATACAGGACAATCGTGTGTTGGTAATTGTATTTTGATGATATTACAAAGCTCAGTTGATTACACTTAGCAGTTGAAAACTCTGATCACCTTGTGCACCTGTCATGGCGAATGGAGCATTTACTCTTCAGGTAGGAGGATGTTGAATTTATTGAACTAAGATTCAAAGCATTTGTGTTTCCTAGAAACGTTTATGAAATAAAATAATATTTTTACATTCCTTAATGCTAAGAAATTAAGACATTCATAGAATGAACAAAGAAGTTAAAGGTAGGAGCCTGCATTTTTCTGAGAGGTATAATTTACTTATTTATAAGCTACATTGTTATTTAGTTAAATTGTAATCAATTTTTATCTCTTTATAGATAACCAGGAGATGAAATCAAGAATATTGGTAAGATTAAAAATGTCAGGGTCGGATTTTAGCTCAGTGGTGCTGCCGCCTGCCTTGTAAGCACAAGGCCCCAGATTCAATCCCTGGTACCAAAATTAAAAATAAAAATGTTGCTGGGGATTTAGCTCAGTGGTTCTGCTGTCTGCCTTGAAAGCGCAAGGACCCAAGTTTGATCCCTCATACCGAAAACAAATTTTAACAATATGTTTATATACAACTATAGACAGAAACCATGGGAAAAAAGAAAACAATAGGAATAAAACTATGTAAGGTAGAAGCAATTTAGCAAGCAATATATAAATTTAGTATGAAGAAAAACAAATTATGAGAGAAATGAATAAATGGAGAGCTATGGTGTATTCTTAGATATCAGTTTTTCCCAAAACACTGTAAATTTAGTCCAGTCTCACTCAGAAAATCAATGAGGTTTTTTTTCCTAGAGGGTGGGGAGATATTTTAAAATGTTCAACAGTTTGGAAGAATAAATCAAAGAGAAGAATCAGGAACTTCCTGAAATGAAACACTAGGTAGGAACTTGCTGTGGTGTGAAACACACAGCGTTACAGTAGCAGTGTGGTACCGAAGCGATGTAGATTAGCAAGAAGGAAGTGGTTACTCTCAAAGGCACAGGGGCTGTCACTTGGCCTCCTGGGGTAAAACATAGTGGCCTCCTCCCACCCTGCAGTCTCCTAAGTCCTTTCCAGTCAAGATGAGACTTTGCAGTGTAGAAATTTGAGACATAAAAGCACTAGAAGAAAATAGCCATTGATAATCTCAAGTTAGATGGATGCCATAGTAAGCATCTGTGAAACTTTAAGGAAGGGCTTTACACCTCAGAATCAATCAGTCCTTCAAAACAAGAATGAAAGAAAAAGTAATTTCAGCATAGCTACCTTTCAGAAAATTAATGTGCTATTTCTAAGATATGAGTCTTTCATCCTTAAAAGTCATGCTTAACTCTAGAAAAACAGGTAGCAAACAAGAGCTGGGGTTGTCTTGTTATATGGGGACCCTGCTGTCATCTTTACACACTGGGAGGTGACTCCCAATAATGCACTGGTCATGGCGCAGTCGCTGGCCAGGCGCTAACACTGCATGTTTTCCAGGTGATCAAGGCCTCAGAGGACAGTGCACTGCAGTACATGAACTTCATGAACGTCATCTTCGCTGCGCAGAAACAGGTGAGCTGCGCCTGCCTATTTCAGAGTGTGTGTTTCAGAGTAAAAGAATTCAGTTTCTCTATTTGAAGGACCTGCTCAGAGAGGAATTCGGGCTCAAGAGCCCTCTTGAGTGGGTTAACGTGGTCCCTGCTCTTATTCTGTAACCATTTTGAAATCTCCCTTTCAGAATATTGCAATTGATGCCTGTGTCTTAGACTCCGACTCGGGCCTCCTTCAGCAGGTATGTTTTCAGAGTGCTGGTAGTGGTAATTATGGAAAGTAATTTTTACACCGAGTGATGATAAAACAGTGCCACCTCGAATGTATTGAGTCAAAATATGTTAGGAAGTGAATTTAATGTATATTTCCTCCTCTTTTTTTTGGTACTGGGGATCGAACTTGGGTCTTTGTGCTTGTGAGGCAGGCAGCAGAACCACTGAGCCAAATCCCCGGCTCTTTCCCCCTTTTCTGTGTGGCTACTGGAAGAGTTTTTGTTGTTGTGTTTTTTGTTCTTGTTTTGGTTTGATTTGGTTTTTTTTTTTTTTCTTTTCATTGAGTTTATTGGTACAATCTAGGTATACAGCACAGTTACATTCATTCATCATTGGGATCTTGTACCTTTACATAATAGGTCTTGATTCTCATTTTTTTCCCCTTGTCCCTGCCCTCCCTTACCCCCTCCTCCCCTCCCCATTTACAAACACTTTATTTCCATTTTTTCAGTTTCTCATATTTTTTTCCTCTCCCTTATTACCTTTCCCCCACCCTTCCCACTTTCCTTACACCTTTAGCCCTTTACTTCCTATTTCACATTAT